TCATCATCAAAACTTCATCTTTGATTTTTGCTAACACCATTAACACAACAATCAATCTTCTTGACATCCAATCCCAACTTTGAAACACATTTTTTGGCTTGGTAATAATTCTTCGGCATGAAATTATTTGGTGTCAAATCTAACATCAATTTTGTATAGAAGTCCACTGCTTGAATGGGAATGTTCCAATTAGATTTGCCAGCCATGAGTCTAATGCACACTGACAATTTTGACTCAGATGAACCTTCAAATACAGGTAGATTTGCCTCTATAAGTAAATTGTAAAACCTCTGTGTCGTTTCATTTGGAGGCTCTTCATCGTGACTATCGTCTGCTTCTTCAGCATGGTGACGAAGAGCATTGTCGACCATCTCTTGCATATAGGCAAATTGATCTATCTCAGATTTATGTACAACAGTATTCGAACCTGATGCAAGCCGTTTTACAGCTTTAGTGGAGGTCGAAGGAATTTCTTCACCATGAAATGTCCAGACCGTGTACTATGAAATGAGATGATCACTTTTCCCTTATTTAAATTTTATTTTCCCTCTTTGCACTCTATTTTTTAATTCAAAAATTAAAAAAATACACTTCATACACGTTTTTAATGCCACATCATTTAAAAAGACATTGTCAGCATGCCACGTAACATCCTCCTTAACGGCGTTTTCTCAATTTAAAGGTAAAGGTCTATTTTATTAAATAAGGACCCAATTGAGATGCCGAAAAAATTGACCTATTTGAGATTCTAGACAAAAATAGGGACCTACATTAAATCAAAAATTAATACTTTTTCATATTTAAAATGAAAGTTCATTGATTTTGACCATAAAATTTTGTAAGTATTTTAACTCTTTGGAATTTTATAATGAGAAACTATTTCACATTGTAGACCTTTTTTTATTCTAATGCATATAAATAATACTAGAGTTGGACCAAATTAATATCTCTACGTGGGGATATGATGAAAAACTTTATATCATTTTGTCATAGGAAATGAGCCAAATGGAAAATAATTATCATAGCATTGAAACAAAAATACTATCAAATCTTATAAATTTCATAAAATCTATAATTTCTTTTTAATTTTTTAATTTTAATACTTTAACTATTAATAATATTAGTTCTGAACTCTCATAAGTAATTTTGATTCTTATCTTTTAACTATTAGTAATTTTAATATTAAGTCAGTTACATTTTTTGTTATTTTAATTATGACATAATGAAATCAGAGAAAAAAAATTATTAGCAAGGCCGAAAGCTTGTGATCAAATTTTGGTACAGATTCAAATTGAAAATTAAATGGAATCATAATAATTATAGATTAAAGTATTTAAGAAAAAAGAAAAATAAAAATGATAAGCTTTATAGAATGGATAGTGGAGCCCTAATTCAATCATAATCATCAATAGGGAGTGAGGGAAAAGGGGGAAAAATGGTGTGCATAAGGAAGGCGACGGTGAAGGATCTTCTGGCGATGCAGGCTTGCAACCTGTTCTGCCTCCCTGAGAACTACCAGATGAAGTACTATCTCTACCATATCCTCTCCTGGCCTCAGCTCCTCTACGTTGCCGAAGACTACAACGGTCGCATCGTCGGCTACGTCCTCGCCAAGATGGAGGAAGAGACCACCGACTGCCACGGCCACATCACCTCCCTCGCCGTCCTCCGCACCCACCGCAAACTCGGTCTCGCCACCAAACTCATGACCGCCGCCCAGAACGCCATGGAACAGGTCCACTGCTAATATACTTCTAGTAACATTGTTCAATTTTTAGTTTTAAAATTATAATTAATTATTTCTCATTTAGTGACATGCAAGCTTGATGCGTTTTCTCAACTGTCATATCAAACTGACAAAATAGTTGCTGAAGATTGAATTTGAAAGTTGAACAATTTTGTGGATAATTGAAAATTAAGAGATAGAAATTACGTTAAAGAAGAACCGGATTTTAATTAACTAAAATTGCGAAAAAATATTTAGGGATGATGAAGATTGTAATTAAGGAAAAATCATATTTATATATTTTTGTTTTGACTGTCTTATGTTGGATTCTCTCGCACAGGTGTTTGGTGCTGAGTATGTGTCCCTGCACGTGCGCAAGAGCAACCGCGCGGCCTTCAATTTGTACACAGAGACCTTGGGGTACAAGATTCATGATGTGGAGGCTAAGTATTATGCGGACGGAGAAGATGCTTATGACATGAGGAAGGAGCTTAAAGGGAAGCAGCACCACCACCATCATCATCACCACCATCACCACCACCACCATGAGCATGGTGGTGGGTGTTGTGGTGGGGAGGTCAAGGGAAATGCTAAAGCCAACTGAATGAGTGGTTAACGAGTCTTGGAAAGAAATGAAATGAGAATTTTAGTTTTAAAATTGTTGAATCGTGTTGTGCAAACTTGCTGTAGATTTATCGGGCTGTGTTAGTTCATTTTTAATAGAATTTTTTCTTTACTGGCTAGGTGAATATAGACACTCTTTCGGCTTCATGATGCTTTGATTAATAACAAGATTGTTGCCTTTCGGTGTCTTTGTTGTTTTGTCATGAGAATTTATTTTATTTTCAGTTGAAGATTTTCTGTGTGGAGAGTAGTTAGTTGCAGGCATTGTGGATCGGTGTCCCGCCGTGTGGAGTGACATCTATCTTCTAGTGGGGCTTCATTATTGTTGCCCTAGGGTTCTAGCATAACTGCAGCTGTTGTGGTCTCTACTGTCGACAGTTTTTCTGGGAAAGAGGCATCTTTTATGCCATTGTTATCATGGTAATATTGGGTTCAAGATCTGTGTTTTAGCTTTCACTGGATTAGTGTTGGCGTTTCGGACACCGTAGGAAGTTTATGTTGCAATTCATTTTATTTTATTATACTTTATTTTTGTTTGTTTCTCTTTTCTTCAGAGCTAGTTCTGAGTTGTCGTGCTTGGACACAATTTTTGGTGGGGAATACTTGATTTTTTATAGTGTCAGAGTTTAACTTTGATGTGTTTTAGCTAAACTTATTACGTAGCATAATTAAATTTGGATTTCTAGACATTGACTGCACCTCACCTAATTCTTCTTGCCTTTTGAGCTTTGAAATTCTTGGTCTTTTAAACTTACTGATTCATCCTTCTTTGGTTGCAGATACCCTGCAGTGCTTAGAATGTTTGATCTTTCTTACTTTGTTTTCTTATACACAGGCTTCCTCGGTTTCTGCTAAATATATCCTAAATTTGGCTTCGATCTTGTGGATTTTCATGGTAGCTAGAACCAAACTAGACAACCTTTTATTCAAAATTTCTTGCAATTTGTAATCATAGTGAGAAAACAAGGCGTTTAGGATTTAAAATGTTCTATGATAGGGAGAGCTTGGATCAATGTGTTTGACCAATTATTAGGAGAATGGAATTATATTAAGATAAATAATTTTGTATTTGTAACTGATGGGAAAGCTGTTCAATTAGACATTAAATTGCGGGTTGCAAATTTCTGGATAGAAGGTGCTTGCAAGGAGGGTGGTAGAGGTTCTTGCATGTGGGATGCCTTCTCACACATTGAAGGTATGAGAACTTTTTCCTTACTATTAATAGATTATGGAACCCTTCACTATTCATTTTACTTATGGCACTCCTTCATGCTTTATTACTTAGATTGTTTTTATTGTTTTATTGGGAAAAATTCTTGACAAAAGCAATGGTGATGCTGCTGTTGATCATTATCATCTGTGGATGCTCAATAACATAATTTTTTTTTAATTTTTTGACATTCGTTTAACTTCTGTTTAAATATTGCTGTTGTCGATTTATTTTAGGCTAAAACTATATTGCTCAAGAAATGTTTCTTCCTTGGAGACTGGCTTTCTCTCCTATGAATTTGTCTGTTTTTCTTTTTACCTCTTCATTGGTAATTCTGCACTTGTTTGCTCTTTGAAGACAAATACTTTTAGATAGAAAGTCATTGTCTTTATTTTTGCACTAGTAAGGAGATATATATGAAATTTTTAGCATAAAAATAAAGCTGTTGGATTGTATGATTTCGATTTTTTTATTATGAAATTTGTAATTTATTCTTTACTTTTTGATTACACAATCTGAATATCATTTTTTATAAAAAGAAAATTTTTTAGATTGTACAAACCAGTACTTTATTTCTTTATTTATTACATGCAAATCTGAATGGCATGTTTTTGCACGACAAATAAAAGTTTTCAGATTATGCAATCTTGAAGCTATTATTTTTCTTAAGAAAAACTTATGAATTGTGTAATTTGGAAGTATCTTTCAGATAGCATAATCTGAAATTTTCCTCTGAATACTATGCAAATTTTTTGTTTATGTAAAAATGACTTTTGAAATGTAAAACACTTTATTTTTTTTGTTTCACTCGTGATACAGCAGCTAGACAAGGAGCGGTGATGACGTTGACAAACGGTGGTGGCAGCAGGAAGACAATTTGACCTTTTAACCATTCCATGGTTGCACATGAAAAAGTGTGGGGGTACAGAAAGAAATGGCCCCCACATGGGTTCTCACTTCCAGTTTGGGATTTTGAGAGACTGCATTAGACACAGTGGGTTTCTTCCTGCACTTCCAACTGTTTCTTTTGCACACCTAAATTTTCCATCCATGCCAATTATGTTCTTTTATATAAAATATTAACTTAAATTAAATAAACACTAATTTACTGATTTTGAAATTTGATTAAAGATTTTATCGAATTTTGAAATCACATGAAAAATTTTATTGGAATATAAAATTCGGTAAAGAATTTTATTGAATTTTGAAATCTAATTAAAGATTTTTTTTAATTTTAAATTCAAATATGCTTAAAGATTCTTTAGAATTTTAAAATCTAATTAAGGATTATACTGGAATTAAAAAAAAAAAAGCATTTTATTGGATTTTAAAATATCTTAAAAAATTTATTGGATTTTGAAATTCAATATATGTATATTTATTATTTTTTTTGTTTCTTATAATTATTTATTATTATGTTTTTAAAATTTTTGTTTTTAATTTTGCAAGATTCAAAAGATAAGGATTTTAAAAATAAATAGTTTTGAGATTTTGGATTTTTTGTTTAGAACATAATTGTTATGTTTTGTTTTTTAATATTTTTACTTAAGATCTTTTATTTTTATTTAATTGGTGTAAAAATTTGTTAATGGGTGGTTTGGTGTTTAGAAAAGGTTTAATAGGTTCGGAGGTCCCTATATTTGCAGGTTCGTTTTACTTGGGTCCTCCAATTTTAGAAGTGATCAATTAGGTCCCTAATTTAACAAAAATGAGTCAATAATACCCTTTCCATTAAATGCAAGGGAATCTGAATGCAAATTAAACAGGTGGCATGCTGAGGCATCATTTTATTTGCAGGTGGCATGAGCTTAATACGTGGCAATTTCTACAATTTTTAATTTGCATTCAGATTCCCTTGCATTTAACGGAAAGGGTATTATTGACTCAATTTTGTTAAATTAGGGACCTAATTGATCACTTTTAAAATTGAAGGACCCAAGTGAAACGAACCCGCAAATATAGGGACCTCCGAACCTATTAAACCTTTAGAAAATCTATAAACTCTGAATCAAAGGGAGAAAATGGAAGAAGAGAGGAGATTGTCGTTTTGGGAGAAGAAGAGAAAGAGTGACGAAAAACTGTTAGTGTAAAGGAAGATGAGTGGTGTTTTAGGGTTGTACACAAAATCTTTTAATTGACCAATATATGGGGAAAATTACCTTTGTTTGTTTGTGGTTGTATGTTATATGTGTATATGATTATGATTATTTGTGGTTATAATTGGGTAAGAGTTTGTATGTATGATGATGATCATGGTACTTGTGATGCTTCAAATTATGTTATGTTGATAATAGTATTACTATAATGGTTATAGTAAGTAGTTAGCATGGATGCTAATGAGTGGATAAATTAAGGGTCTTTGTGTGAGATGTTAGTGATGATATCAATGGTTAGAGATAAAAAAACAATGATTGAAGTTCAAGGATCGAGGACAATAAAAGGTCCATTTTACCTGTTATAATGTCTTTTTTACATTATTGGTGAAGGGGATGAGTAATGATAGTAGACAATCCTTATCCTCGTTTAGTGCTACGTCATCAAGGGTGCTTGATATAGTTCGAAGATAATTATAGAGAGTAAGGAAGATCCCTCTGAGGAGTATGCCGAGGACAATCTACTTCAGAGGGGAGGATATGATAGGGTGGATCCCTTACGCAGTGTTCACTTGAACAAATTTTATTGTTCAGAGGCGAATGCGAGCGATGAAATGAAAGTGAACTTGTGTTCGGATGAGAGGAAAAACGAGGAACGCTGAAGATGGATTTGCGGGATGGAAGAGTTTTTCATCACCTGCGAAAGTGAAGAGATTTGGAGGGATTGTTACTGAAATGTCACATGTACCCTTAACCTATTATATAATTCCTTGTGTGTATATCAGCTTAATATAGAAAATCGATTAGCAAAATTAAATAACCGATTCGAAGAATTTAAAATTAAAAAGACGCGAAGAACAGTTGAACCGATTCAAAGGAGTTAATATATTAGCGCCCTCAAGTCTCTCCACAGCCAGTGTTCAAAGTGTAATCTGTTTGGTTTCTTCCATTGACGACGAAGAGCAACGCCATTTTCTTCCATTGACGACAAAGAGCAAACGCCTGAGATTAGTATTGCAGTATCTTCTTTGTCCAATTTTCTTGTTCTTTATGAGTTGCAGGGTTGTAGATGAGGACGAAGAAGGAACTGATGGCATGAAGAAGAAAGTCGTTAAATGGAATGCGCGTGTTTGAAGGTGAAGAAGATGATGAACAGTGCTTCATCACAAAATTGAAGGAACCGTATTTGGTTTCATACCTGGAGTATTTGGTTCGAGGCCTACGAAGCATTCACAAATGAGTTGTATTCAATTTCAGGCGCAGTAGTATTCGGTTCCCCATTCTCGCAATAGCGGCGTATTCGGTTCCCCATTCTCACAACAACGCCATATTCGATTCCATGGAGCGTAGTCGTTGGTGGTGGACGGTCGATATGTCACCAATTACCCATATTTGCTACATATTTGCTGCCTAATCTGGTTTCAATCTTTCGCTGTCTTCAACCCATTCCCCATGCTGGAGCAACCTCATCAAGTGGTATTCAGAGCCTCGGTTGCTCATGGTGTTGTGTGGTTGTTCCAATTAAGTAATTTTTCTTTCATTTTTAATTTGTCAACATAGTTACTTCATGTTTTTGCTTCTATAGTGCACTATTACATTGATTTCTGGGTTTCAGTAGTTGTCCATCGAGTCATTTAATTGTTTCAGCTTTTATTTGATTTAGTTTCATCATTTTAATCAGGTTAATTTTTGTGTTAAGTCTTTTAATTTTGATTTCTTATATTGTCATGTCAAAGTTATGTTCATTTGGTTTATTGATGTCAAAATTTCTGAGTTCAATCTATGAATGGCTAAAACTACTTGACATGAGAAGTAATTCAATAGCTGCACATCATAAGAGCAATGATTCAAAGAGCTCAAAGTGTAGTACCAATGTATTA